GTTGCTCCTGAAATACGCCGGACAACTTTATATTCAGGTTTGGGAGTCACCTGTGCGTTATATGCATTGTATTCGTACGTCATGTAAGAACATATATTCATTGTATACCCCTGGCCGTGTACAATATTTCCGAATATCCAAGTGTCGTTTGATTGATTTTGCGCAATACATGAGCTGTTGGACTTGCGTTCAGATGCTCTTATCATTCGATGTCGACTTTGTGAACTTTCCCATCCTTGAATGAAGCGGTTTTAATACCTCCTACATTGTGTACGTGGTGGTCCTCACCGCGGTCATAAAATCGCACCAGCTGTATTTTTCAAAGATACACATAAGTGGTATGCATGCCTGGCATACATACTTGTTAGCTACGCCCACACGTTTCTGAATTTCTTTCTTGTTCTGTAAGTATCTTAACGTACTAAATAGCTCGAATTTCATCCGTTTACTGTCATTTATCTATTTGGTTCCGGCCAATTAGGTAACGTGGCTACCTATGATGGCAACAGACGGTGACGCATATTAAATTTGTCGGAACTTGAAGTTAACAGAAGATACAACTAGTATTGTGGTTGACCAGACGACAAATATTTTGCAGATGCTGAGTAATCAAATAAAGTATCATCGCATCAAGCTTTTGAATAGTATGATTTGAAATATACTGTACGCTTTATTTTCACTCCTCACAACTATAGGGTCATATTCACTTTTTACATGAGGGCTGAGCTTTCGCTAAATTATAACGATAGCTGACTAGCTGTAGTAGACGACATTTTGGATGATTCATTTTAGTTCAAATTCTTATAAAGTACTTTTAGTACTACACGGTTGCAAACTTCAAGGACCTTGATATATAGTGTGGACATATCCCACCTTTCGTTCAAGTGTCTGTTGATCGGCTGCATGTCGTAAATGCAATATTTATCTCATCTCGAACCCTATCTATTATCTACATAGCAGGTACTCGAATCAACACTAATGCCATCTTGAAATGAAAAAGACTATTCCTATGTACGGCATATTTTCTAGTTTCCACGGTTTCGATTACGGCTTCGATTTCCATGTGAAGTATTTGTTGTTGCGTTTCTAGGTAATTTTATAGTATCCACTTCGACTTACTAGATTGATATACAAATATATATCTATGGATGTTCTCTAATTGTTTGTTATGCAGTTATAAACACAAATTGAGGGAAACTGTACGTGGTTAAAAATCTGTTTATCGCTTCAAGGTGCTTTTAGTTTGGAAAGTCGCCTAAAAAATATCGTGATGTTTTGCTGGCAGATTTTGAGAATGATACTTTCAAAATGGTTCTACTAGTACGAATCATAACTAGATTGTGATAGTCATGGAATGTGGTATAGCATTTATGCATGATAAACTGATTTATACATATATTTTCATTACTTACTGTATTTTTTAGACTTACACCAGGCAAAAGCACTCAGCTTTATGCGAGAATCAAGGCATTCGTTACCACTCTTTTTAGAAGCAAAATAACCAATTTAGGTAACACGTGATAGTTCATCGCATATTGTAATAGAGTTCCGTTAGAATACTTAAAAACATTCACGTACTTTCTTTATTTTGTCAACTTGAAATGCAGGAAAAAAAATTTACAGTACTATTTGATAATCCATAGAATTTGTGCTCGAGTTCTGTTAAAATACTAGGTCAAGTACATTATGTACCCTTTCAAGTGGTTCAACCATTTCTATGCAGTGCTATAATTAGTGAGGCTTGCCTGTCTGCCAAGGACGTGTGCCATTATTTGTTGGTCATTTAAGCACAGGAAATAAAAATTGTTTTGATATATATATATATATTAAATAATTGTGTGGTTTTGTTGAAAGTCTAGCATACATGGCAGCCTCATAATACTTTTGCTGTCGTACTGTGTGCGATAATCTACGACTGTATTAAATGAAGACTTCAGTCGATATTAAACTAGTATTGCGCTGCGGGAATCTATCAGCAATTGATAAATCACGGTACCTAAAATCTATGGTTGCGATATATACTGTACTTACAAGTAATGTAAAACATATATAGTATCATTTAGGATCGCAATTGTATATCTGTTCAGTTCCATCTCACAGTGCATACATGCGGGGCCATATAGAAAGAACCAAGTGATATAAGATGAACAATAAATTCACATCGCTTGTACGTCACGAATGTGCGTCATCGGACTGGTCTAGCAGTTTCCATGCATTTAAAACTCATTATATCCTTTATTCTGTCCTTTCTCGCACTTCAGACTTACACATACACAACATATCGGTTACATATAGGCTACGAATAGATGCGTCGTCTTTTGTCCGTCCGCATCTTTGTGCATAGGTACAGGGGCACTTTCTAAAACTGTGTGTCCCTATGTCTACAATATTCCCCTTTGCAACGAAATTTTCGAAAGGTACATTTTTTGCTATTGTACGTCTAGCAACATCCGGTTTCAGTTGATCATCGCGACCAACTGTACCGTTTAAGGTAAACATATATCCCAAATTCAATTGTTCTATATTGGTACGTTCCAGTAAACGTTCAACAAGATGCCCAGCAATAGCACTTAAAACACACAGATAATGATCCATTGAGCCTAGAACTACTTGAGTCACAACTTGGCCCTTATTTTGTAAATTTTTACTGCGGCATAAAGCAACGAAAAGCTGATCAGGATTGTCACCACTTGGTTGTAAATCCTCAAATTTCATATTTGTTGCGTCATCCACGCGACAAATAAGTTGAAATGTCCATGTCCATAGTGCGTGCAAGCAACTACTTTGAAAATGGGTGTCTTCTAAATTGATAGCGAGTATTTGTCTAAATTCGTCATACTACTCTATGGGTCGGTTTGCAGCGCCTGCTTTACCCTCACCTCTTAGCTCTGCCCTCTCAATACTTTTCAGTAGATTATTTACGGCCGTTGATCTTGTTGGATTTCCTTTCATATCAACTGGATCCCAGTCGCTAGCTATACGCGGCATAAAGTAAGAAACATTTTTTATATAGAAAACTAAGTTCAGACTCTCTGCGGAGAGTAGGATGATCACCAGGGCCGGGAGTTTCGGTCCCATAGGCCAGAAGGTTAAAGTATTGAACTCTATGCTGTGGCATGATTTTTGTAGTCATACTGTGTGGAATATTGAGTAGATTATCATGTGTCCCAAGGGTGATTCGGATCCCAGTATTGTAAAAAATCTTTCTAGTTCTTAATATAACGTGCGAGATTCACATGCGAGGGAGCCATTATACAAATTGTCTATGTTTCTATCAAGGTTGTAGCATGTATGTGCACTTAATGGAATAGGTGTAGTTGTAATAAACAGTCGGTCCCAATTTGAATATGTGTGTGATTAGTGATATTTTGTTGAAACATTTTCACAACCGCATGGAATGTTTTCCAAAAACACACTGGCTCTCTACCAATTAGAGCTTGTGATATCAAGTATATTTCAAAATTGATGTACATAGTTGTAATGTTTGCGACTATTTGTCAACTCCAGGTACAACTAATTCGACCTTAACCACAGCAGAATACATTCCGCGCTCGACAAATACCGAAAGAAAAGTACCTGATCGAATTTACAACTCAACGCAGCTTGTGCTCCAGTAGAATCCCAAGCATCAATCTAGAGCAATAAGTACTGATAAAGAGTACAACATGGGTTGTACAACCGAAACAATATGTATGTATATATATGTAAATGCCTCTGAGTACTCGGTATCTACATATCTGATCTACTATCTCCCATGTTTGGCAATTAACTTTATTCTCGCCACTCTCACAAGTCTTATTCTGCACTACAAAGCTCTCTTGTGTCGGGGGGTGGTAGATTAGTGGAAAATCACAAATCTTGCACAAAGACGTGTGCTAGTGTAGCGTCGTTCCAAAGCAATCACAGGTCTTTTACGTTGAATAGTTATGAAACGATGATGGAAGTACGTAGACGCGCAAGGAAAGTGTACTCATTCGCATACATGATATTCCACAATACTGCCACTAAAGCGGGTGTAATGATATCGGAACCGAAATTCAGAGAGCTCTTAACGTTATGTGTGTGTGTTTTTGACCTTTTATATCACACTCTTGACAAATATTGATTCAAGCCCTACCTCAAAGCAGATATATTCACAGTAATTTACTACATGCTTCTTGTTTGAAACGCTTCCAGTCGAACAGCCGGACAGTATGCATTGCCTCCTTAGAATATAAGACTCAACAAGGGAATACTTCGGCCAACGGCTGATCGATATATGCGAATGTGGCGCAGATATATATAATAATTAAGTTTGCTGCAAGGTGCCCTCATGTACTATCGCCGATTGACTGAGCTGTGGTAGTTTGATACATAATCTTTTAGTATTATCTTCCATGATATCTCATGGTTTCCTCAGTAATTTCCATGATGGCGCTTGTGATGCTACACCAAATAGCAGATACCCTAATCAGTCTAGTATGTATTGTATAGAGCCTGATTATGATTTTCGACAATTTGAGATGCACAGATATTAGAGTACTTTATTGATCCAAGAAGATACGTAGAGGCTTCAGACTGTTCGGTGAGCACACGGCCACACGCTGTTGTGATGGAACAAGAATTCACTATGCGCCATAGTCATCAACCCACAACCACAATCGTATTTTAAAGAGTGGCATAGCCTCCATAAGATTGGGCTATAGTCAATTTGATTTTCTTATCTCTCTTGCGTAGCGAAAAAGTCTTGCAATTAGGATTGCGGGATTGGGAACAGTACATAGTAACTGGGCGGTACGAGTAATGAGACTCTAAATATTATGTTTACTAATAGTTTCCTGAACAATAGATGTGTGAAGGAATGTACCGAACTGTCATTTTATTTACAAAATCACATGCACGTCAAATCGGTGTCATCTGTCAGGCACAATTTTTTTTTGTTTATTCGAAAACTCAGCGCATTTCCCCTGCAGTATTGAAAACTACGACTTCCGTCGTCACAGAACACTACACACAAGCATACACTCTCACACATATACACCATAATGACTGCCTCCTTGAAGTTTGTAAACGTCGGTATCATCGGCCCTGGTCTTGTGGGAAGAGCTTTGATCAAGCAACTGATGGAATTCGGGGCAAGGTAAGTATACTGCGAGCTGCATATGTTTGTACGGTGACATTGCACTGTGACATTGCACTGTGATAGCTCACTTCCAATCGTCGTCCTCTTAGCCATGGAACGAATGTGAACTGCGATTAAGCGGTGAATCAATTGAAAAAAGCCTGAATTTGATGAGCAATTTCTGCTTGCATGAGCTGTTCCTTGTCGGACACATGGACACCGTTGGCTCTCCTCATGCTGGATTCATAGGGGGTTTCGATGTGTAGACCAATAGAGCCTTTTAACACGCACAAAGTCAATATTTCGTCTACGTACATCTCAGTAATATATATAATCTAGTGTGGCTAAGTCAAATTATTATTCGACAGGGATTGTGTAAAGTTGATGCATATTCAGTTGGCAAAGGAACCTTAATTGTAGCTTGCAAATTTGGGTTCAGCTTCGCCACTTATAATATTGTGTATGGTGGTGGTCACGTATCTGGGAATCATTTACGTTCAACGGTATATATGAAGATACAGGTTATAAAAGCAAATTTCGATGATGTACGAGTTTTAAATGTCACCTGCACCCTTGTGACAGTGCGCACATTCGCCGTTCGTAACTTCCACTCCTGTCTCGTAATTACGCATATGGTAGTTACACAGGTCTTATTACTGAACCTGACAACTTAATTTCTGTATTTTCAAGAACACAAACTTAAAGATATGCCTGGGATACTAATTGTTAACGGTTTTGTCAGAAATTCTATTATCAAACCTCAGTCATGTATATAATATAATAGTATTTTACCTGCGGGATGGTATTTTACCTGCGGGATGTGCACCTCGATATCACATCATTCTCAATTTCATCGTAAAGAACATCTTTGATTACATACAAGTTTGCAACGTCAGCCAGCCTTGCCACATTAGTAGGAACGTATATCGATAGTTTTTGCTGTTAATTATAGTTTCTATATCTTGGGTGTTTGTCCGAATTTCCTTTTCTTTTGCGCACCCGGTCCACATGCTGTCAATGTGAATTGGAAGACTGAAGCTAAACAATGTCATTGCCATATCCACAGCAATGGTGTGCGTATTGCAGGTATCATCAATTCGAAATCTATGCTTCTGATCAAAGGAGATGATTGGGAATCCGCCGTAAAGGACTGGCCCAACAACTCTGAGACGTCCAACATGCAGAACTTCACCGCCCACATGGCATCACAAGTACGGCCCCTATCTCAACTTCGGCAATGAGCTGCTTGTTCGTCAGTAGTGCTGATGAATTTATACGAATATACTATCTTTGAAAGTATATTCGTAAAATGGGGGGGAGGGGGCAAGATATCATATTAGATGATCTGCCTACGATCGCAGAACAAACTTAACTATTTATTGAAGAGTAATTTTACTGGGAAATATTTAAGACTCAACAGGGTGGGCGTGCAGCTTACACCGCGACACACTCTTGGTATGTCTGTATCAATACTTACATTCTGGCACTCACTCATGAATTGCTTATCAACACAGGCCGTGCCAGTAATGGTTGATTGCACATCCAGCGACGCCGTTGCCGGACAATACCCTGAATGGCTATCGCAGAAACTTAGCATCGTAACACCCAATAAGAAGGGGTTCAGTGGTATGTAGTTGTCTCTACTGATACACACTTACGCTCAGATACGATAATTGATCTTCAATCCATTGGGTTTTGTACATGTTTCCACCATCTGTCATCGATCACGAATAATGCACATACAGCTACACATTACGTTTGTTGTCGGTGTTGCTAGTATGTCTGTGGTACAGTGACAGGGTTATTGACGGTGGCACTCACTATTACGTCATCATCAGCCATCCTTAATATTTTGCGATTTTGTTGTGCGAGCAACATGACACCACCGTGTACTGATGCCATGCATTAGTCATTGATTCTGATGCAAAGGTATACATTGTAGTCACTCTCATCTTTACTTTGACTATTGCTTTTGGACTCAGATGCTTTGGATCGTGTATTTAGTTCTTGTATATAGTTCTTATCTCGTTCAAATTCCTCCATAGGCGACATGAAGCTATACAAAACGCTATCACAGGCGAATCAAAACACGTACGTCTACCACGAGGCGACCGTAGGTGCGGGACTCCCTATCATCAGCACATTGAAATCACTAGTCCGAACAGGTGGGTATGCCTATGATTTCTACTGCATGTTCATGAGCTGTCGCCAAGTATGATTTTACTACGCATTGCGATATTTCTTTCGATGTGCCGCACAACTAGACTCAGACTATAATATATCCAGTTTGTATTATATTTCTAGTTATATATATATATATATATATATATATGCTATTTATTCAAGAAAACAAGCGGACAACGCGTGTATAT